CGGGGTGAGATCTTGCGTGGAGCCCCAGATCGAGGGAGATTATCAGTGGTCTTGTATGTCTTCCATTTTCTAATTATTGCTCCCACAGTTGATTTCTTACACCAAGCTGCTTGCCTATTGCAGATTCAGTCTTCCCAGCCTGGTGCAGGTCTACAATTTTGTTTCTGGTGTCCTTCGACAGCTCTTTGGCCTTCACCATTGTGGAGTTTGGAGTATGACTGTTTGAGGTTGTGGACAGGTGTCTTTTATACTGATAACAAGTTCAAACAGGTGCCATTAATACAGGTAATGAGTGGAGGAGAGAGGAGCCTCTTAAAAAAGAAGTTACAGGTCTGTGAGAGCCAGAAATCTTGCTTGTTTGTAGGTGACCAAATACTTATTTTCCACCATAATTTGCAAATAAATTCTTTCCAAAACAGACAATGTGATTGTCTGGATTTGTTTTCTCATTTTGTCTCTCATAGTTGAGGTCTACCTATGATGTCAATTACAGGCCTCTCTCATCTTTTTAAGTGGGAGAACTTGCACAATTGGTGGCTGACTAAATACTTTTTCCCCCACTGTATATAACTATTATCTTACTAGAAGCAGCAACCTAGCCACATACATAAAATATCTAGCATTTGACTACTTTACAACTATCTAAGATTTAATACTCACCTCCTCAGTAATAAATAAAAGAACATTCCTTTTAACTCCAATTAAAGCATCACTCCATCTAAAAATAAAATACATGGTTATTGCTACAGGAAAAAAAATGCAATCAAATATAATACTGGACTTTACTGCAGCTACCAAGCATTGTGTTATGGATTGGGGTCAAGATAAGGTAATATCATGAGGATGTAGCAGAAAGAAGAGGGCATCTTCTATGATTAGATTCAAGTGAGAAAAGAATCTCAATTCCTTCATTTGATGAAATATCAGGATCACTATTAAATTTTGAATTTTAAAGTTACTACAGGGAGTGTGGCACTCACCTAATAATTTCTTTGGAAATAACATTTTCAATTTCTTGTTTTGGATCTGCTAGCAAAGCATCCAAACTCTTAACAGCTCCACCCTTGAACAGGACTAAGGGTTCAGTGTGTGGTAATGAATGTATCCGATATACATCTGATGACAGCTGCAAGATAAATAATAAAAAGAAAAGAAATGAGACATATACTCATATATACATATGGCAACAAATGAAAGGGCTCCCTGTGAAAATAAATATTTATTCTAATGATATATTTTGTTCATCCAGCTTCGAAAATCTTATACTCCTAGTGAGCAGGGGAATAAGCTTCATTCCAATTCTAGATAAGTGAACCTGCACAAGATTCATGTCACTTGCTTTTCATTCACTTTTCCAAAATGGAAATATTTTCTTGTTCCAACAAAACAAATCTGATTATGATTTGAAAGAAAGAATCTTCACTGGCAATAGGATTCTACTCAATTGAGCTGATCTACTTTTTTTTTTTTATTTCTGGAGATAATCTTGTCTTTTGGTCCCTGTTTTGATGAAGGACATCCCACTGTGATGTGTAAAAGAGTACAGTCTGATTATGGTTATGGACCAACATAGGGAGGGGGAGAAGAAAGAAAAATTGGTATTATTACTAATTCCTGATATCTCTGCAATACTCTACACAATTCTGCATAATTTTCTGAGCAGCCTTTCAATTCTCCACTGAGGTTTTGAACTGAAGGAAAAATATAATTAAATAATCATTGCAAGCAAAAATCTCCATCTTCCTTCAATGGAATTCTTTGTTGAATTCAGTGTTTAGCTGCATGAGATAATTACTTTAAAATATATTATCAGTACTTACTGTGGCTTTAAAAACTTTATCCAAGTCGGTATCATCTTCTTTCCAGATCTGTAAAACCTTTTAAAATTCACAATTACCATTTTAGAAAGATCACAAAGAAGTGTTTGCTAACTATACCTCTTGAAGCTTGGAGAAAATAAATTACTTTGAGATATATTTAAGATTATTAATCTTAAAATATTTTATTTTAATGGCACACAAAGGTACTTGGCTGAAGTACTGAAATATATCTGCATATATTCTGATAAAAATAAAGGAGTCCCTGTGGATTTTACTCTGCTAGTCGTTGCTGACTATAGAGGGCAGTGCTCATTTCCGTTTCAAGGCCATTGAGCCAGCACTGCCCAAAGACATTTCCAGGGTCATGTGGCCAGAATGACGTCACAGAGCGTTGTTACCTTCCCACCAAAGCGGTACTTATTTATTTATCTACTCGCATTTGCATGCTTTCAAACTGCTAGGTCAGCAGGAGCTGGGATGAGGCCGGGAGCTCACCCCGCCATGTGGTGTTTGGGTTTCAAACATGGGCTGCTGGTTTTCCAGCTGACAAGTCCAGTGTCGTTAACCGCCGAGCCACCACGCCGCCTATATACTCTGGAGCTGCATCAAATACATACATCAAATAGATGTATGAAAGACGG